AATAACCGTCGTTTCCATATCCAGGTGTCGCATCCCGGTGTTGACCATTTCGTTGGAAGTCAATGGACACGAAGGGTTGTCAGGGGTTCGCGCACTCCCGGATTTCTGGACCGCCTCGGACAGATCCATGATCGTCCAAAAAGGACAATCAAAAACAGGCCTCCGATGAATAGCCTTAATTGAAGAGTCGGTTGCACCTTTTCCGCGGTGTGTACGGACATTAAGCCAATTTACATGACTAATGCGACAAGCGAAGCAGACCCTGCTGGAGCGGCGCGTGGCGTCCACGGCTTCCGTTGCAAAATGCTACTCGACGAGTTCATTAGGAACCACCATAGAGGATCGCCATTGAGGTTTTCGGATCCAAGCCCGAATGTTTACCCGTTATTATTTATCGAACCATAAACGCGTGTCCCCGACGTTTCCTCTTTTCGTTGCGACCCCCTCAGGACCCTCGTCAAAGCGTTCGGCTTTGCTCTCGAAAATCGATTCGAGGCAACCGGGGAAGTTGCCATCGAAATCCTGCGGTTTGTTACAACCCTCTTTGCACGTCCTTGGACGTCTTCGAAAAAATGATCGATCTCCACGGCCGGAAAACGTGATCGATCAGTCGCTCTCTGCTTCGGCATCGATTGGCAAGGGTTGCCCCCGCAGGTGCCGATCGGCTGTAAACTCGATCGACCGCTTAATTTAATCAATTAAGGACACCCCATGATGGATGTCGATTTTTATTCCTCTTATAACAACACCTGGACTCTGCAGCGGGAAACTTGGAGTTTGGGTGGAAATGAAATTTCATTTTTATTCATTGACATTTTCCGACGAGCCCGAAGTTACGGACGTCAAGGATACACGTCGAGATTTCATCCTTGACATCCATGACATCCTTTGACATCGAAACGAGATTTTTATTGTCGATTTTTATTCCTCTTATAACAACTCCTGGACTCTGCAGCGCGAAACTTGGAGTTTGGGGGGAAATGAAATTTCATTTTTATTCATTGACATTATTCGACGAGCCTGGAGTTACCGACGTCAAGGATACACGTCGAGATTTCATCCTTGACATCCATGACATCCTTTGACATCGACACGAGAAGACGTCCGAAATTTGGCCTTCGATCCCCGATAAGGAGAACATTCGAAGACGAATTCGAGTATTCGGAATCGCGTTACAATTCGAAGGTCGAAATTTCGATACACGATCTTCCGAAGAGCGATCGCACATCGTAGAATTTCAAATGGGAGCTTCTCAATGGAAAGTGCCGGCAAATTTGAAATTCATGCCTTTTCCTGGAGGAATATCGAGCGAGGAGGACAATGAACGCGAGTCGAGGTCGTAAAACCGGAGATTCGATAAAACGGACGAATCTCTCCCGGGCAGGAGATTTCATTTTCGTTTAATATCTTATTGTCAGGATTTATTATTATTTTATAATTTGACAAGTGTTGACTCTACGTCGTGTCGTTTCAGGTCCTCCACGACCCCGAAGAGGGGAGACTCGCCATCGGACACCTCGACGTAATCTCCAGGAGATAATGATACGAGAATCGTGACGTCACTTCCTGCTTCCATCGCGGAATCTGCCGGACGTCGAGCCGGCGACGAATACCGATCGAGCATTACATCTCATTACACGTTTAACATCGTCATTACGCACCGTCGAGCGAATCCTCCCGATGTCGCCTCGGTGCATCCTGCAGACGTGAATAATTGTTAATGTCCGCCATTTTGGACACTTATCTGCGTCTAATGTCGACCTTCGCATCGAGAATTTAGGTAAGGTAGACACATAACTTTATTTTTTTTTTAAACTTTATTAAAATTAGGTAAGGTACATACATAACGATAAATCCCAGATAATTTCTAATCTGCAATTAAATTCAATGAAAATTTAAATCTTCCTAGACATATTTAACGATAAATCGTAAAAGTATTCGCAATTGAATAAAATAAAAATTTAGAGATCAGATTCAGATATTTTTTACTTTTTTTATCGATCTTTCATGTCAATCCACTCGCGACCGCTAAATTCGCGTTGAGTATTGTTTTTGATTTCCGCGGCGATCAGATTTTGAGTTTTTTAAACCAACTTTGATTTACCCGATTTTCAGTTTTATTTTTGTTGCACAATTATCGTTTCTTTTCGGGGTTTAAGAATGATAGCAGGTGACGTTGAAATCTTGCGGGTCTTTTTGCGGATAAATTCAGAGCGCTTGCATACACGGCCTCTCGTATCGAGAATAAAGTGTGCCTTGAATGCTCGTGATAGTGTGTGTTGCTGTAACAACAATCGGGAGGACGTACACGCGGCCGCGTCGATGGCACGCGACGCACGGCGTCCCAAGGCGTCAGATAACGCGATGCAGCACGCGTGGATTTACGCCAGAATGTCGTGAATGAGTAATTCCAATGCTCGGTAACGTTCACCGAGTCGAGAAAAGAGTCGAAAAATGGCCTTTCTGAGAAAAATTAAGGGTCGATTCGGTACCTCGCACCTAAGGAAGGTTCTAAAAGTGAACACCTGCAATTCCATAATTTTCACCACGGTGAAAACGTGAGATACTTCGCGTGAGAGTACTCGACAAGAAACTGAGGTCTACAAATGTCATATTTTCACTTGTAGAATCAGCGCGAATGGACTCACGTGAGATGAGAGGGCGAAAAGTGAGCACTCTCGCGAAAATTACAGAATCGACCCCCTGAGCACGAGGCATGAATATAAGGGTAATGAGAATGGCTTCAATTGTTGGTCGGGGCAACTGGAGTTTTGCTGACCCGAGATTAACTAATCTGAGTTTAAGGGATTTTATACTAATCGTGAGACATGTCATATTTTCACTCGCAGAATCGGCGCGAATGGACTCACGTGAGATGAGAGGGCGAAAAGTGAGCACTCTCGCGAAAGTTACAGAATCGACCCCCTGAGCACAAGGAATGAATATAAAAGTAAAGAGAATGGCTCCAATTTTTGGTCGGGGCAACTGGAGTTTTGCTGACCCGAGATTAACTAATCTGAGTTTAAGGTATTTTATACTAATCATGATTGGTTTAACCGGCCTTTAGAGGCAATTTCGGGCAGACGGTTGTTTTAATTTGCCATTTATATATTTTGATTTTTGTTTTTCTTAAATCTATTGCGGCAAACCCCGAGGCCGTGGGGTGTGTCATGACCGCGGCCACGTGGGCGCGTGTGCGGCGAATCCGCGCGGGTGTTCCGCGCGCGGACCCCCATGGCCGCCAGGTGGGTCGGTACGTTACGGAACGCAATCCGCCACGGGTGAAGCTCTTTTCAGCTGCCTAATTTTCGGTATGCTCATCGCTACCGCGATAAGGGTAGCCATCGCCGCATTATAATTCCTACCACTTGAAAAGATGAGCACAAACTTTCAAATGGAACATAAAATATTCATGCCCTTCGAAACACTCGATGAAATTCCGAAATTTCGTGCCATAAATAAAATACTTCGTAAAGTCCGAATAATTAATAAAAATAGTAAAGCCTACTCTGGACATGAATTTTTTTAATTAATTATCTGTATTATTAATATCTAAAGATCGATTTATTATTAATATCTAAAGAAATAGTCAAGCGCACACTAGACATGCATTTTAAGCACAGTGTCCGAATAAGAAATTGAAAAAAAAATGGCGATGCGTACCCCGGACATCTATTCTAAATCCTAGCGACGACGCCGCGGAACGACCGCGTGCGTTTTGTTGTGACGACGGTCGTTCACTTCCGGCGTCACCGGGAAAAGGAACGGTCGCGCTCTTACGTGCCACTCGAATCACACTCTTGTGGTTTATCGAGACCACGGTCGCTGAAACCGCTGTTAGACGGTTTACGAGGCGCCTCGTAAACAGTATTCGGATAAATCACGTCCCAAACGCTGCGTACACTTACTCGTTAAAAGTTTCCCACTTAAAATTGCGTATTATCTTCAATCTTGAGGACTCTTCCGTCGACAATACCGTGAAACAAAGAAATAACGAATTTCATTTCCCGCTCGAAATGTATTTGGCGCGAAGCTCTGCCGCGTTTCTCGGTACTCGCCTCTAGATGGCAGCGGCGTTCGTCGTCGTATGTAAGTAGCATATACGGCGTGAAGTACGCCATATTTCGCGAAAATGTCGGGTTTGCAGAATTTATTTGTCGATACCGTGAAACTAAGAAATAATGAATTTCGCAAAAAGGTCGGGTTTGCAGAATTTATTTGGTGATACCGTGAAACTAAGAAATAGTGAATTTTGCAAAAAGGTCGGGTGTGCAGAATTTATTTGTCGATACCGCGAAACTAAGAAATAACGAATTTTATTTCCTGCTTGAAATGTATTTGGCGCAAAGCTCTGCCGCGTTTCTCGGTACTCGCCTCTAGATGGCAGCGGCGTTCGTCGTATTTAAGTTGCATATACGGCGTGAAGTACGCCATATTTCGCGAAAAGGTCGGGTTTGCAGAATTTATTTGTCGATACCGTGAAACTAAGAAATAACGAATTTCATTTCCCGCTTAAATGTATTTGGCGCAAAGCTCTGCCGCGTTTCTCGGTACTCGCCTCTAGATGGCATCGGCGTTCGTCGTATGTAAGTTGCATATACGGCGTGAAGTACGCCGAGTTTCGCGGAAAGGTCGGGTTTGCAGGAACGCTTTATCGAGTTCTCGAAGCTCCCGATCTCGGCAGCAATCGATATTCCTCGGCGAATGTTTTGCCACGAGGATAGAGTGTCTATTTACCATAAGAATTCCGGGTCGGCGGTGTCAACGGCGTCGAATTACGGTAATTCGTTGTCACGGCTCGCTCGGTAGCCGACAGCGCTTCGATTTGTATTCAAATTCGGACTTACCAACGACTCAGCTTCTCTCTAATTTTAGGACCAAGAAGATGGACCCAAAACATGGAGGGATGGCCTACTGACCGCTTACGACGATCCTGGAGGAATCGGGAATGGAGGAAAAATCGAGAGCCACGGTTAGTGCAAATCGTCATCACGGTTTATTCAATTCGACTCCTCTTAAACTCCTAACTGACTAGAGGTTTTGCTTAAACGCTAGTTTCAGATATACATAGGACCTGCTCCGCCTGATAGCGCGGAGTCTTAATTTAAAATTAGTAAGTTAGTCTTTGGAGGCGCTGCATCGTCGTTTCGCTGGGAAACGACCGTTTCAGGCTCTCGGTGGACCCCACGAATCGTAAAACGTTAATCGACGGCGACATCATGCGAGAAGTCTCCACTTCCGGTCTCCCCTGGTCGGAGGTTCGAGAAAGAAAGATGGCGTCGGGAGGACACCGGAAGAAGACGGAGGCCACTATCTCGGTCGTCGCGAAAGGACCAGAAGTCGTCTCGCCACGATCGACATGTATAAAAGCACTAAACAAGGCCTCTATATACCTCTCGCATTATCACATTCATCTCGTTTACACGGTAGATAAGACGAAACCCCGACCTATGTAACGCCACATTGCTAAGAAGACTCGGCGAGGGAAACAGAAAACGAGATTGAGACGATTCTTCAGAGATTAACCTCCGAAAATGCCGCTTTAGCGTCGCCTCAACCTGGAGTTCTCGCCCCTCCAATGGCCGCCATCTTGCCCGAAGCGTTTCCTCGCCTTCCGCGATCGAAATCCGATTTCTCCTCGCAGAAGATATCCTAAGTGTCTAGTTACAATGTCGGGAGATAACTTCCAACGATGCAATCGGCCCTCGAGGGTCCAGCAATGTACGGACATTACATACGCGTTGTTTCCTCCGTCGATATTGTGCGCACGTATACGAGTACATATATATGTTAGTATATATATAAGTATACGTGTACGGTAAGGTGCCACCTAAACCTCCATAAATCATCCGCAAATTCTGTACAAGGCGATACACGGGGCTCGGTAGGTTAACAGTCCGCTGGCCGCGGGTAATACTAAACGACAGAGACGACAGGCGTTTAACGGCGATAGCGGAGAAATAAATATACAGTGGAACTGTGTACAAGCTCGGACGCCCCGAAGAGGTCCGCGTCGGTCGTCGTCGCACCTCTCTTGGCCTATTTAGAATTCGTCTTGTCAGCGCCCTGCTGCTTGGGCGACTCGATCGACGCCATCGACTTCTTGTTGACGTCGCACATCTTGCGGGCGCGCCAGAAATCTGCAAGTATAAGAGAAAAAACGATTATGATCAGTTCCGAGGCGGGCCGCAGCGTCCTCGCCGCGTCCACGGCGATCCACGGTTAGGACGGAGCGCCGTTTCATCTCGAATTCAACCCCGGTCGTTGCATCTCGGAAAATAATACTGTATCGCGACAATGGCCAAAGGATGATGACTCGTAGATAACGCTCCAGGCGATATCGGATAATCCGGAGTGCGATCTGCGCGTATCACTTATTTTATACATAGAGATAAAAAAAAGATTGAAACAAATATAAATATTTTTAATAACAAAAATTACATTATTTCTGGTCTTCAAAGGTACACTTAAGACGGAACTTAACGAGAACTCAGGTTAACCTAAGTTTAATTTATCCTGGATTTCAATTTACACTAAACTTTCATGAAGTTCCAAGGGCCAATTTAGTTGATACTCGTCTCTGGAGTGCAGATGCAACCCTTGAAGGGCTGTATAAAGGGTTAATATGAATTTAGTCGTAAAAGTGAAGAATTTCTGATTTTTCGACGCACCGTGACATATTTGAGAAGGAATTAAATCGGAGCCAGACCCTAGGATCCTCTTTCTAATAGCGAGGGACGCTTCAAAGTCGCCGATCAAGTGCGGCGCCTCTCCGGGGCGGCATCTGGTGGGAGAATAAAAAAGTCGCGGCGCCTTTTAGCACGTGGCGATGCGTGAAACGAGTCGGCCGCCCGATAACAAGACCTTTTCCCCGGCCGCCCACGCGGCCTAACCACGCACGAAGTGGCGCCGCCAGCGGCGCTCACGGCAACTGCCCCGCCCGGCGGCGGGTAATTCAAAACGCCAAGGGCGGGAAAACTCGATTCCGAGGAAAGTATAAGACGTCACGTGGAGACCGAGGAATAAAGGAGTGCACCCGGAGGGCCCGAAATCGGGGGAAGGGACAAGACCTTTGTCAAGAGACGCAGGGGTCGGTTTATTGCGTCGTAGGTAACCTGCGCGCGGAGAGCCCGACGAAAATACGAGATTTCCACAACAAAGGCGCGTCTTCCGAGGGGCTTCTCCCCATGACCGCCCCATTTTCGGTCAGGTAGCACACCTGAGCCCCCACCCCTCCTATGGACCCGTGCTCTTTGCGCGGCCACGCGACAGGTGCGTCCGCGACCTCTCTCTCTCCCTCTCGCGTCTCTCCGATTTCTCCGTCTCTCTTCCTCCCGGTTTTGGCGGTTCCCTGGAACTACCTGGAACCTTCGTGGAATCGTTCCTGCGGCTTTGCCGTCACGAAAACGCCACTTCCGGACTGCCGTATACATCGCATTTCCTATACCTCGTTCCGTCCGACTTCTTGATCATGCATTTCGTCGATGACAAAATCGATTCCCCTTTTTCTGCGCTCGACAATTGTGAGGATAATCTCCGGTTAAGACGCAGAGAAGAGGTGATAAGAGCTAAGAAATCTTCCTCGGGAATCCCGATGACGTCGTCAAGGAGCCGTGGTCCCTTTTTTTACCATCGGGTCCCATTTACGGGAATAAAAGCTTAAGTGGATGAGAACCACGGTGTTCGGGGCCCTGGAAATTTCCTTCGGGACCCCGGAAAGACGTTCCGAAGGTGGAGGGTCGCAGATAAGGAACCAGAGGGGTGGAAGATTCCATCCAACACGGTCTCTCTTCCTTTGCGCCTCTTTGTGTCAACTGCAGCTGGGCTTTCCTTTGCTGCAGTTAGAACGAAGCCAGGAGAGCGTAAGTCAAATCTCTCCTGCCTCCGGACAAATGGCAGAAAAGTGCATAAGTGGAGTAAAGAAACTTATCCGTTCCAGGAAACGGTGCGAGATGATGCCGCGTACTCCATGTTGCGCAGCATCCATCTTTGTCCAGGGTTCAGGGCCCCATCGACGGAGCCTCGGGAACCAGATTCGACTTTAACGGTCTTCTTTGCGCCGAAAGTTTGACGAAATCCGACGCATACAAGCTGCAGTAACCATATGTCAGCCTCCGGTCGAGTCTTTACCTCAGCTTTGGCGCGAGGCGTGCCATATGGCGTCCTCTGTCCTCTTCCCACTCCCCGTGTCCAGATATCTCCTTCCTCGTCCTTTGCCGCGCCAGGTTACGCTTCTTTGTCTCCTAGCTCCACGGCATCTGGCTCCGCGTCTTTGGCTCTTCTTTATCCCTACATCTTTATCTTCTTTATAAGGTCGAGCCTTTTGCGCCCTCTACCTGTCGGGGCCTCTCCATATGCCGAGGAAAATCCCTCGCGAGGGAGTTTCCTCGCGCCAAAGAAGGGCCCCTTCTTTGTTGAGGGCTGCAAAAGTCCCCCCAGGACCACGTGAACGTCTTCTGGGATGGGCCGAAGGCCCTGAAGGACCTACAATGGGGCCCTTGGTCCGCCACCCCAAAGTACACACCTACGTGCCCCTTTATTCGGCTCTCTTTGCTTTTCACTCGTCTTTGCGGGGGAAAAATCCCCTGGAAATCGACGGGCCGCCAATCACAGCGGGCCAACTCGCACACAGGTGTGAGTCGAACAGGTACGGCCGTAAAAGTGTTCCTTGTATCCCTCGACGCTGATAAGGGTTCTTCGGGTCTGATTACTCTTCGAATTTTGCAGGATTCGGTGATACTGAAGATTTTAGGCCAACTGGCGTTCTCATCCTGGGGACTGCACAGGTGTTGGAGGAGTCTTGGTCCTCTTCGAGTTCCTCGAGCTGGAGAACTTAATCCTCTTCATCCTGGAGCGGGTCCTCTTCATCCTCCGAGCTGAAGATTACTCCCATCGCTTCCCGAAGAGCTGCACCAGGCGGATTCACCTTCTTGGAAGGAGAATAAAACCGTCGTTTCTTTCTTCACCGCACTTTCTAGCGTTTTATACCCTCGAGTTCCCAGCCGATACTTAGCCGTAAGGCAAACGTATAAACCTCGGAATCGCCCCGTGGAAATCATCGCCGGATCGCCTCGATATCCCCTCTCTTAGCTCTCGAAATAAATCCAAGAATTTTAACCACTCCACTATCGGCATGAATTTTACGAAACTTTGTCTATAGAGACATTTATATAAAAACACAAATTTCACGAGTGTCAAGACCTCCCTTATAGCCTCGATACTCATGTGGTAAAGTTACGACACGATTCGGTACACCCAATTCGGAGTAAAGTCTGACGAGCTAGACCTCTTCATGTCGCCTTAAGCCAGAGTAACCATAACCTTATCCTTAATGAATCCGCGAGATTTCACAGAGTATCCCAAAATATGAGAGCGATAAAGCGTCCGCTAAATGTCGAATCGGCCGTCCAGATCGTCGTGGGATGTGACAAAGTCCCAAACCCCGAAGTCGTCGAAAGGGGTGCTCGTATCCCCAGAAGGCGGCCGACCGAGACGACACAAATGCACTCGCCGGTGCATTTGTGTCGACACCTGTCGAGGCCCAGAAAACGAGCAGGCCGAGTCTTTTCCCACGATTAAATCCCAACACCGTCGCGCACGCGATACGCGACTCGCGCGGGACCTCCAAAAGGTCGGCCGCCACCTGTCGCCGGTAAGTTCAGGTTAAGGGCGGCGGTTTCACGGTTGGCCGTCTCGAAATCGCGAATCCTCAAGATATGTCCCGATCCCTAAGCCAACCGGTGACCCGATACATATAATTATCTGGCGCGAAACTCTACCGAGATCGGGAAAAACCCCCCAAGACGGCGATTAAAAGTGACCGCATCCCCTCGAATTACGTGCCCATGTATTCATATGAATTCTTAATGGTAAAACAATTGTTAAGGTTAAGTCACGGTTAAAATAGAAATAAAAATCAGGCCACGGAGCGAGGAGGAACCAGCTACGCAGTTAATAACGTACATTATATGGTTGTTTCGAGTAAAGAGACGCGGCGCTCAATCGAGCCGCGTGATCTTGTCTGAGACGCAACCGCGTATCTCGATAGGTGTCTCCGTGGTTTCTTCTTAAGGTGATGCGAAACCCCCTTCAAATCAGTCGATTCGAATACAACACTTTTTTTTAAGGGTCTTAGACCAAACTGTCCGAAACTTTGACACATCACTCCTGATCATCTAAGAATTGTCCTGACACATTGAAAATTTGGATTTTTGGAAACAATTTTTTAACTTAGCCCAGACCAGAACCAAAGTGGCGTCAGGCTCTCATATTTCGATCGATATACAATTATCGAACGCTCTGATATGAGAAACGAAACGGTCAGGACAATTTTACGACAATTTAGAACACTCTGGTAATCGATAAACTCGCATTTGAACGGGATAAAGGCAAAAAAAAGTGTTGTATGCGCTTCTATGCTAAAACGATGGGAATACGAGGTCTCGGAGTGAAAATTTAATTCACCTGGAAATCATAGATGGCGCAGGGGGTCCCTCTGCAGTCAATTAGGGCCCCAGAAAGCATGAATCCAGAGGATTTCTGGAGTTCTACTTTGATTTCTTGATATTTATTGTACGAAAACGACAGGTGGAGTACGCCATTTGGTACAATATCCAATATAATTCGACACAGTTGTCAATATAAAAACGAACGTCGGCAACGTAGGCGTTTAGAAAATCTTCTTTATCGACGTTGATCAAGTTCCTCGACGTGTTTCATTTCACCTTAACTCTTCATTGGTCCAGAGTCTAGTGGCAACTGCGTGGTGCATTCGTTATGGTCCATTCCTAAGGCCCGATTTTAGGGCCCCGAGGGGGCATTCCTTGGTGGGGCCCGAGCAGCGATCGGTAATATTCGAGAGATCCAAGAAATTCGCGGAATGCGAGGCGATAACCTCCCCAACCGCGAGCGGAAAGTGAGCCCTTCGGTGAATCAGTGAGGAGCTCTTTAGGTATTTTACCTCCGGGCTTCGGCCATGACTCATCCCCGTGATTCACTCAACGACTGACTCGAGTCCAGGCCCTCTTCTCGTTTCCTTCTGCGCCGCTTTCTCGACTCTCACGTACCGATTAGAGAGCCCACCTCTCCCGACTTCATCGAGTTCGGGAAACACCTCTTTACCGAACACCGCTCGTATATCTAGGTAACTCGATAAAAACTCTCAACTCCAGACAAAGGACATATTTCGGTTTTACACAGTCAAGGGGCACTCTTCGAAAATATTCGGGCGGTCGTGTACGGCGAAGTTCCCTATGTTTAATTTTAAAAGGATGGACAATCGCGGAGGAATTACGTAAAAAAAAAATAATAAAAGAAAATGAAAAAGCACCGTTTCAGCGCGACGTGCCTAGTCGGATTCGGGCAAGGGGCTAAAAATGTCAGCGCGTAGAACGGGAAGTTCCGAATTTTTTATTTGAAAAGCATGTTCGATAATGTAGGAGTAACGAAAAAAAAAAAAAAAATTAAGAGGCACCGTTTCGGCGCGTAGAACGGAAAGTTGCCCATTTTAAATTTTTAAGGATGAACATCGCGGAGGAATTATGAGGGGAAGAAAATGAAGAAACGTCGTTTCAGTGCGACGTGTCCAATCGGATTCGGCCGAAGGGCTGTAAAGGTCGACGCGTAGAACGGGAGCCGGCGAAGGGTCCGCGACAGAGACGTAGACTATATAGAGGAAAAGAGAAGGAGAGAAGGCTCCTCGGGACCCGAGAAAACGAACAAGGGAGCACCAATGCGAAAACAGGTTCAGGCCACGCGACCGCCCCTGCGAGCGGGCTTCCCTTTTCGCGGGCAAAACCGTTGCCGGCTTCCCGCCAAAACCGATTGCCGCCCAAACGGCCGTTCCAAGATGGCGGACGAATTCGTAAAGTGGAGCTACCGTGGAGGTGAGACAACTTTTACCGAGGCGACCTAAGCCACCCAGGCCGTTCCGCCCGATCCTGGAGTTCATTCTTCGGGCCGATTATCCCATCGGTAGTCCGGGTTTACCAGGGGGCGAATAAACTTGAGATATTTACCCCGATTGCCCATTATTCGACTAGAAAAATAGTCCGTTTTCACTGCCCCTCTCGGACTCTCTGGGACCTCATAATTCTAAATTCATGCCTATCCTCATAAAACCAGGCGGTGGAAACGTCCTGGAGGTCGGATTTATCCAAACCGATATTGAATAAGTACCGACGGTGGATACTAATCGAATACATTGAGGATAATCCCTAGTATTGTACTAAAAAGTCGGTAGAGTTTCCCGCCAAATACATTAATGCACTCGCTTAGAGAGTACAGCATATTAAAATACGGCGTTCGGGTAAAATCGCGGGAGTCTCGAGTAAGGTCCCGCCAAATATTCAACTCTTAGCTGTGGAGACCCCTCGCGGCGAATCCGCCTAACCTCACTTTAGCGAAATTTCGAAATGCACTTACCGTGGATGTTGGTCTGCCTGGAGTATGGGTTGCTCTTTTTCTTCGGGGAGCGTTCGACCCTCTCGAACTTCAAGTTCTCCTTGTCCTCGGAGGTGGGGTCGACGCCCCATCTTCTGGCAAACTTTGACCTCTCCGCGTCGAGGGCCTCCTGCAGCATCTCGGCGCTCTCCTTCGGGTTCGGCTTCCCGAAGAGGCAGCGGGGGACGCGCGAGCTCATCGTCGAAGGCAGCACGCTGAAGTGCACCTCGCGACAAAGCGACGCGGCCAGCATGGCGAACTTCACCTCCCTCGCTGTGAGAAATCGACGCTCGGCTTTACCGCGGTCCGAAGGGGCGCGCGAATCGGGGCGGCCTCTGCGAGCCGGACGGAGCTTTTCCGGAGTTTTCTGTGATGATCCCGAGGTTTTCGAGTCTCCTTGCGTGCGGCGGGACGGCTGGAGGCGCAGGTCCTTCCTCGGTCGGCGGCCGGACTCGTTCTGCCCGCCGCGGCCTCGCCGAACGGTCGTCGCTCGTTTGAAACCACGAGGTTCCCCCACCACCGAGCTGCGCGCGCCGCTGATTGGTGCGCGCCGACGGTGCGCAGGAAAAAGCGCGCGCTCGGTCGCGCGAGCGCGCCCAACGGATTATGCTAAGCGATTTTAATGGAGGGGACCTCTCGCCATAAAACATCGCTCACCTTCTTCCTCCTCCTTCTTCCATCCTCTTCTAAGCGCTCGCCTGTACACGGCGATCACGGAGTCGGGATTTAAGGTGTTACGAAAGTTATATATACATATATACCCAGAAAGTCAGAATATTTATAAAACTTTTGCTGGGTGCACCGAATAATTTCAAACTTTAACACGTGATCACGTAGGTTCCAATGAAAATCTTCCAACTCAGGAAATTTCAAGTTTCGAACTGGACTTTTGTCTTTATCCCGAAGAAAAGTTATTGTTTTTTTTTTTTTCATGCAATTTTTGGAGGAGGAACTACATATTCATATTGTGAAGTTTAAAACGAGTCGGTATGCAGAGTTTGGGAAAAAGTTTCGTAAGACGTCTTTGGCGCCACTTTCTCGTCACCTTAATATTCGGGAAGGAGAATATTAATAAGTTGTTGCTTTTAATGTCGTGTAGCGGGAAAAATATTCCTTGTCAGATGTTAAACGCATGTAAGCGCGACCTTGAATTGTATAAAATGGAGGCCGAGCTAATAACTTGGATTTAAAAATTCGAGTCGTGCATTTGAGGAAAGGGGAGACCGTAAATCAATGCTGGACGTTTTCTCGATAAAAAGAGGCGAGCAATGCTCGGGTGTCGGACATGGACCTGATTAGCATAAGTGAAGTGCCGGTAGCGCTCTCATAATGCAAATCAGATACGGATGATCGGAGGTTTCGCCATTTACGCGGGGTCTTATTTACTCGAGGAAAACACGGTAATTTATTTTCAATACTCATGGGTTTTTGCTTTTCCCCCCGAAATATTATGAAAACACGTGGAGCTAATACTGTACAAATATTGTAAAATTAATATTCTAAAGCAAATATTTTGCAGATATTTCAGACGTCTGATAAGTATTTACAAAATGAAGGACATTCGTTAAATATGATCATATATATAAATGTATGAAGATGTAAGAGAAATATTTTGGTATACCAGGGGAGTCACTCGATTTTCAATTTCTGCCGCAAGGACGGACGTATGAATCTTCGTTTATGAAATTGACAGTCTTTCTTTAAGCCACTCCATTGTGTGGCCACAAAAATTCGAAATCGCCATTAGAGAAGGTTCTGCTCGACGCTGGTAAAACAATGGGAGTCGAGCTCGTGCGAGAGTTCCTTGACAATGGACCGCAATACCACTTGCAAAGGGGTAATTATGTTTACGGGGTGTACTCATGCTTCTGGACTAACTCTATTTGCGGGACCCGGGAAAAATTCGAAAACGTGCCTTTCCAGCCATTTCCTGCAGGAGAAACGAAGCACGTTCCAAAAGCACGGCTCATATTCAGATCTAAAGACATACAATGAACGATTTTCATGTAACTTTTCGCCAAAGTCCCAACAATCAGCTACATCATGATAAGACTAATATAAATGTGGGGTCATTTTAATTTTATTAAAACTTGTTAAGGTTATTTCTTAAGATTGGGCTTTATTTATTTTCTGAGGTTGCGTCTTTTTTATTGCTTCATGTCGGAAGAATAAAAAAGAGGTAGACCACCTTGTTGCAGATATGCGTTTATGTTTCCTGACCGGCTTTATTTTCAGGGAACGATCCCATGAAATATGTCCCCCGTGCATTTATATTTTACTGAACACGTTGCCACTATGCGAGAAAACCGAGGCTCGTTTAAAGAGCACTTTGCTCGCTTTATGATCCACGAACTTCCGGTGTAACGACGTATCGATGGCCACTCGCTCGAATTAGATGCCTCTGCGAAAACCGTTGACTAAACATTTATCCGCTACTCTAAAATTACTCGTACCGGACCCTTGGAGAGGTTAGGAATCATTTTTCAGAGCTGTTCTAGGTGAGCGGAAAAACCAGGAATTTTCCGGGAGTTTCCCCTCCACGATAGGAGTTTGGATTGTCTCGAGTACTTCCTTAATTGTCGTGTAACAACTCGTGTTAAAAACCGGATGTGGACTCACTGGTAAAATCCGTTCGGAGCGGATGTTCGAGATTCGCGTTAATTTTGCCTGTTACAGCCCGATGAGCAATATTCGAAGGGGTCTGCTCTATATTTCAACGGAGAGTAAATAGAATTCAATCGTCCAAAAGCTGAATACTGAAATTAAGGTGGCACGAAACCCTAGAACCAGTCGCTTCGAACGCGACGCTTTTCATTAACGAAATTGCTGAAGAATTAGATTAAAAAATTTTTCTTAAATGTTAAGACATTCCTCAGGTACTCAAGAATCGTGTGCTAAAATTTCAGCCAGTTTTGTGCAATGTCCTTAAAGAAAATGTGTCTTTTTCAAATTAATTGGATCGTCTTAAGGTGATGTGATAGTGGCATGAAATAAGTCTCGTTTATGAGACTTTTCTCCGAACTGGGTGTTTCGAATGATCTGAAACTTTACAATATGAATGTAATGTAAGGACCCATGAAATATGAATTTTTAAAAAATTTGTTTATAGTTATTTAAAAAAATGTGTATATAAAATTAAATTTCGCAGTTGTTAGGACCTTCTTTATTGCCTCCATATTCACATTATAAAGTTTGAAAGGATTCGGTACACCCAGTTCGGAGAAAAGTCTCATGAACGAAACCTCTTCGACAGGACTTAATCGCCTTAATTCTGAGGATTACTTCAAGGATATGAATGCAGTAATGGAAAATCACGGTTAAAGTCGGTGAAAAATCCAGAATTGACGCCGAGAGGGATGTTGAGACCCTTAAAATAAACGGCTTCTTATATTTCAATTGTTAACAATATCCGAAATTCAATGAAGGTACACTTGAGAACAATTGCAAATGCCACGTACCAGCGGACGCTACTTCAGGTCCACAAAAGTTCCCACCGTGTTGCGGCACAAGTCGGGGATCCTGTTTCTGGACTCACCCCCGGATTAAAAAGAACCAAAGTGTGTATACTGAGACCGCAAGTGCACTCGTGGCAAAGCAACCTTTGAAACAAAATGTCACGACCGAACTGTACGCACTTCCGAAAAGAATCCATGCGAATGAGAAACAAAAACCAGAGACCGAGTTCGGTGCACATATGTATATATACATACACACAGTACAGTTCATACATTTGGAACACAGACCAAACTTCTAAATATCGTAAAAAACGAAATAAGAACGATACAATACCTCATAAGCTAACAAGATAAATTAATAACTGGTGAAGTGTGTCTTGATCACCATGACATTATCTGCATCATTATCACGTAAAATTGAGGTGGTACAAAAAAAAATGAAATTTCTTAACAATATAATGCCGCAATACAAAAATAGAGGTTCAATTAAAAAAAAAGTGCAAATGGCTTCATAATGAATCTGGACCCCCCTCGTTAAGAAATTTTTACACGACACTTTTTTTTTTTAATGTAATTTGTTCAATGTATACATCGGTGTCTCACCCTGTATAGTCACAAGGCGCTGGATATATCAATACTGGAGCACACATACATGCAAGTGTTCCTTTTTAAGACCTTTTTAGATAGTCCTGTGCAGTGTTTCCGATAGGTAAAGTGCACCTCACCAGGGGGTGCATTTCAGGATCGTTAAAAGCCAGCATGCAGGCTATATCACGGTCCCACGTGTGCATAAGAGGGTTGAATTTCGGCCGTTACGGAAACGCCACTTTCCCACCGCGTGCGGGCAAAACGCAGGACAGGTGTACGCCGTGAAGGCCACCGTAACGACCATTCCTGATGATTGCTCGACAAGATTTCTCCTTTTTTCAATTCGTACCGCCCAAGAGGATCCGGGATGAAAAGACAGGGCGATGACTCCGAAAAAGTCTGAGAAAGGTAAATCAGCAATTTCCGTAATCCGCTCGGATTGACCTCACTTTTTTGCCGCCAGTTTTTTGGAGGCCCTCCAGCAATCGTCCTGAAGTTGAAAGAAAATATAAAAAAATGGAGAAAAGTCGATCGAAGACGGTCTTAAAAAATTCCGATCTTATTTCTTGGGGTCTAGATTAGACTTATTCGAGCGTCTATAGACATCTGCGATGGTTTATGGCGTCTTTGTCGAAGAGTGGCGCCTTTCCCTCTAGACGCCCGCGACCTCCTCTATTCTTCTTTGGGGAACCGTTACGGGTTCGAAGCGGCTACTTCCGGTGGCTGCGATGTCGATATCCGTTATTCGGTTACTCCTTGACGTTGCCCCCCGATTCGCGGAAGTTGGGAAGTTTAATGTCTCGATCGCGGAAATTCGACGTGCGATGCCCCCGGCGGCCGTTCCGCCATTTCCGGTCGGCGACCCTCAAACCGGAACGAGGAACTGTTAGACCCAGAAGACGGCACCGTGAAGGCGATTGTTGAACTCGCAGGGGTCCGCTCTAGTTGTAGCAACTCATTTCTTTTATTTATCTACCTCGCCACTATAAGCGTATAATCACTCGCCGTGAAACTGTTTTTTTTTATTCGCAGATACCAAGGATTTCATTCAAAATGCGGAGACAAAACACCGAATGGAGGAATTTGGACATCGCGGTAAGACATTACGACTATCTATATTACATACATATTTTTTTATTTTGATATTAAGGTTATTTTTTTAAACGACTTCATTCACCGTGCGTCCTGGATGGTCGATTTTAGACTGACTATCTCTTTCCATATTGGAGTAGGGGGAAGTGAAAAAATTGAAATTGAAATGTTGACTCTGTATGCGAGAGATCGGCCCAGGACCCGAAGCCCTGGCGGTCGTTCCGCCACTTCCGGTCCGCAGTCGGCTAACCGGAACGAGAACCTCGTAGGGCCCGAGGTCACCACCGTGAACAC